ATATACAGTAAAGTGTAATTTATTCCTGTGATCAAAGCTGTATTTTCAGCATCATTACTCCAGTCTTCAGTGTCACATGATCCTTCAGAAATCACTCTAATATGAGGATCTGATGCTCAAGACACATTTATGATTATTATCAGTGTTGAAAACAGTTGTGCTTTTGCTCTGTGAACTTATCTGGAAAAACATTCATTCATTACTGAGATTATCTGAGGTAAATGTGATTAACTGCCATGAAAATGAAATCACAGTGCATAAACAGTCTTTATTAAACACACAATCACTAAACTAAAGCAGAGCGTTATGAATGATCACAGAAGAATGATCTGAGTATTGATTATGGCTCATAATCGTCATAATCGGCGGATGTTGTGAATTATAGTGTTGTCTAGATAGGGTTTCACACACACCTCCACACACACACACACACCCCGTGTGTGTGGGACTCGCCGCCGCACACCTGTATGTTTAGTCGTTCTGTTCATGAATGTGTGTGTAAAGTGTGTATTATTGTCTCAGTCTCACCTCTGTGTAAAAGGTATTAAAGGCTTCTTCGCCGCTGCCGCCCGCCGCCATCTTGCTTCTGTGACGTCAGCGGATATCGCGTCACTCACAAAATAAAAGTCCTCGGCCCGCATGACAAACGATCATCTCAAACAAAAGTGGGCAAAATTATTTTGATTTTTTTTTTAATACTTTCCTTGATCTGAGCGGTACAAGACTTGGTGACTTTTCCTTAGTTTGCCACCTGAACACACACACACACAAAAACCCGACTCGATTATACAATGTTAAGTGGGTGGAAAAAAAACAACTCCTTAATTGTTTGTTAGTGGACAAAAATGGGCACCCATAGGAATGAATGGGAAAAACTGTATTCCAGAGCATTCTTGTTGTTTTTTTGTAAAAAAAAATAATATAAAAAAATCAATAAATCCAATACAATCTATATCTAACATACACACAAATGAAGGGCTGATTCTCAACATGGCAAAAACTCTCACCCATACACACACACACAAATACAAACAATGCATTCAATGAGCCTATGACAGAGCCGTTTTTTTTATCAAATAAAAACTCACTCACACACACATACAAAAACAAAGAGTTGAATGAGCCAATGTCTGACCATGTTTTTGGTATGATCCAATCCTCCACCTGGCTCACCAGACTCTCTAAATGACCCACTACTTTGTCTTTTCCTTATAGCATGGTCATATTTATCTAAGCATATTTTGGCATCTTTGTAGAGTCTCACCTATATATTTTTTTAATTACAATTTTAACTTGTGATAGTCAAAAACTTAAGAGGTCAAATTAATTTTATACAGTGGTTCATAGAGTTCAGCCTATGTGCAGCCATTGAGTACTATTAGCCATCTAGCGGCCATTGATATTATTATTTTTTTCATAATTTAATACCAATATAAGACACCAGATGCCAGCAAAGACACTTCATCTTTAGGTTTTAACTCTCGGAACGTTGTGGAATGGTATTTTTAATGTAGTTAAAGAAATATTAAATATAACATAAAAATAAGCATAATTTACATAGAAAATGTGGTACTTTTAGAGGTAAATAAATTCAAAAATACCCCCAAAATAAAAAATAAAAACACCATAAATGGATAGTATAAATTTTATCGAAGACAATGATATAACATTTATAATAAATAAAAAACTGGATCACACCTGAGATCTCTGTGCCCACATGTATCCAGGGCTGTTAAGTGAATGGGGCATGAGGGTTAAGAATCAGAATAATCTTTAACTGGTTACTGGTCAAACACACACATATTTTCCGAATAAAATGAAGCTGAAACAGCAGTTTATTTCCACTGAGGTCAATAAAGCGTTAATATTAATATAGATAATATGGATATATAATAACTAGAATGTTGATTTATCCCCGAGCTCGTGTATTTGATCCACATTCAGACTGAGTGAATGAAGCCCAGAAATAAGAATCAATTGAATTAAAGATTATAATTAAAGATGAATGATTATTGGATATTATAACATATCTCCTGTCATAAATCAATTACATTTCCAATAGTAAAACTATATTCAATTGATCATTGAAACTGCATGTTTTAGAGATTGGCGATGCTGTAATAGTTTTGCGAGATGATTTGAGTTTTAATTGTAGGAAATTAATTTGTGATAATTCAGTTTCGAAAAGTTAAAATGCTAATTCTTAATTTCTACTAGCAAATCTCTCTCTCTCTCTCTCTCTCTCTCTCTCTCTCTCTCTCTCTCTCTCTCTCTCTCTCTCTCTCTCTCTCTCTCTCTCTCTCTCTCTCTCTCTCTCTCTCACACACACACACACACACACACACACACGAGCGCGCACAGAGATTTTCTCAAAAACACACACACACACACACACACACACACACACACACACACACACACACACACATGTTGGTGCAACAGCATTATGAGGACTCTCCATAGGCGTAATGGTTTTTATACCGTAAAAACTATATATTCTATCCCCCTACACTGCCCCTATCCCTAAACCTACCCATCACAGGAGACATGCAGCATTTTTAATTTTTTAATAAAACATTGTTTTTTATGTTTTTTAAGCCATTTGATTTATGAGGACTTTTGAAATGTCCTCATAAACCACCCATAAGTTGTAATACCAGTGTAATACACATGTCATTATACAAATTTGTGTCCTCATAAATCACATAAACCAACTCACACACACACACACACACACACACACACACACACACACACACACACACACACACACACACACACACACACACACACACATGCTTCTCTTTGACCAGAGCAGTTTTAGAGTGAAGAATAACAGGTAAATTTCTCTCTGTTTATGATCATGTCAGGAATATGTGGATATATATATATTATATATATGGAATATGGGAATATGATTGTGTTGTTTTCTGTGTTTTCCATGAAATGCATTAGTTGCAAAGTAACTTCTAAGCATTAGTGGAAATATTTTACATTATGCATAATTTAATCAAAGTCCTCATGATTCACAGAAAACAAGCCACACACACCAGACCAGTGTATTTCAACATAAAGTAAATATAATGTAATAGGCTATAAATAAATGTCAATTGAAATTCCTCCTCCGTTTCATGAAAATGTTACTTTATGCAAATGAGCAGGCAGTGACACAGTTCTCATCAGCCAATGAGTGTGTTTGACATGCAAATCTGGTCACGGGATATATTTACATAAATTACTTAAACAAGTTTAGAATGAGACATTTTACTGTCAGTAACTGTGTTTGTGGACTGGAGAGGCTAGAAGATAAAAGAACATGTGCTGCATATTTGTGTCTTGTGATACATGAATGCGTGTGTGTGTGTGTGTGTGTGTGTGTGTGTGTGTGTGTGCTGCCCCCTGCAGGACACTGCGACTCTAGTAATATTGCACATTTCATACACAGTGTGATTCACTTTTCCCCCTTAAGAAGAGGAGAAAGACAATACATGTAACTTTGGGCATATAATATGTATATATAATATCTAATATGTAATATGTAATACGTATGTGTAATATGTAATATATAATATGTATATGTATATGTATATGTAATATGTAATATGTATATGTAATATGTATATGTATATGTATATGTATATGTAATATGTAATATGTATGTGTAATGTGTAATATGTAATATGTAATATGTATGTGTAATATGTAATATGTAATATGTATATGTATATGTAATATGTAATATGTAATATGTATATGTAATATGTAATATGTAATATGTAATATGTATGTGTAATATGTAATATGTAATATGTATGTGTAATGTGTAATATGTAATATGTAATATGTATGTGTAATATGTAATATGTAATATGTAATATGTAATATGTATATGTATATGTAATATGTAATATGTAATATGTAATATGTAATATGTATATGTATATGTAATATGTATGTGTAATATGTAATATATAATATGTATATGTATATGTATATGTAATATGTAATATGTATATGTAATATGTATATGTATATGTATATGTATATGTATATGTAATATGTAATATGTATATGTATATGTAATATATAATATGTATATGTAATATGTATGTGTAATGTGTAATATGTAATATGTAATATGTATGTGTAATATGTAATATGTAATATGTATATGTATATGTAATATGTAATATGTAATATGTATATGTATATGTAATATGTAATATGTAATATGTATATGTAATATGTAATATGTAATATGTAATATGTATATGTATATGTATATGTAATATGTAATATGTATATGTAATATGTATATGTATATGTATATGTAATATATAATATGTATATGTAATATGTAATATGTAATATGTATATGTAATATGTAATATGTAATATGTATATGTATATGTAATATGTATGTGTATATGTAATATATAATATGTATATGTAATATGTAATATGTAATATGTATATGTATATGTAATATGTAATATGTAATATGTATATGTATATGTAATATGTATGTGTAATATGTAATATATAATATGTATATGTATATGTATATGTAATATGTAATATGTAATATGTATATGTAATATGTATATGTATATGTATATGTAATATGTAATATGTATGTGTAATGTGTAATATGTAATATATAATATGTATATGTATATGTAATATATAATATGTATATGTAATATGTAATATGTATATGTAATATGTATATGTATATGTAATATGTAATATGTATGTGTAATATGTAATATGTAATATGTATATGTATATGTAATATGTAATATGTATATGTAATATGTAATATGTATGTGTAATATGTAATATGTAATATGTATATGTATATGTATATATGTAATATGTATATGTATATGTAATATGTATATGTATATGTATATGTAATATGTAATATGTATGTGTAATATGTAATATGTAATATGTATATGTATATGTATATGTATATATGTAATATGTATATGTATATGTATATGTATATGTAATATGTAATATGTAATATGTATGTGTAATATGTATATGTATATGTATATGTATGTGTAATATGTATATGTATGTGTAATATGTATATGTATATTTAATATGTAATATGTAATATGTATATGTATATGTATATGTATATGTATATGTATATGTAATATGTATGTGTAATATGTAATGTATATGTATATGTATATGTATATGTATATGTATATGTAATATGTATATGTATATGTAATATGTATATGTATATGTATATGTATATGTAATATGTAATATGTATGTGTAATATGTATATGTATATGTATATGTATGTGTAATATGTATATGTATGTGTAATATGTAATATGTAATATGTAATATGTAATGTATATGTATATGTATATGTATATGTATATGTAATATGTATATGTATATGTAATATGTATATGTATATGTATGTGTAATATGTATATGTATATGTATATGTATGTGTAATATGTATATGTATGTGTAATATGTATATGTAATATGTAATATGTAATATGTAATATGTAATGTATATGTATATGTATATGTATATGTAATATGTATATGTATATGTAATATGTATATGTATA